TAAGATCCCCCACCATGTAACCATCTGAATACATCCATGCTTACATGATTGGCGCCAGGGTCCTGCCCTGCCACAAGGGGCTTATAGTCCCCAAATTTTACATGAAATCAGTAAAGATCCCATCCAAATGCTGCTGGGCATGCAGAGGAAAAACACTCATGATACCAAGATAGTCCCTAATGGAGCCCACCCCATCCCTGAGGACTTACTCCTTCAGTCATAACATGGAAATTGTTGAGATCCCCAAGCTGATATTTCCTGTATGGTAAGAGGTAATCAACAACTTTTAATGAAAAATATTATTCCAGGTGAGCTATTAATAATGTGCCTGTGCTTCTTGTTCTTGAGAGGCCACAATAAGGGAACATAAATGGGAAACTCCAGCACAAGCAAACATGTTATATTTCCTGTGCATGCAATCAATATGAACCAATATCAGACAACTATTATAAAGATGAGGTACCTTACCTACAGAGAATATGGACCTTACATATACCTCATGTATATGTGCATGCATACAAGATGTACTTGATGTATAGGTGTAATCTGATGTATAGAAGGTATATATATACCTGATGCATGGAAGGTGTATATATATACCTGACCTATAGGAGGTGTATACCTGATGTATAGAAGGTATATATACCTGATGCATGGAAGGTGTATACCTGACCTATAGGAGGTGTATACATGATGTATAGAAGGTATATATACCTGATGCATGGAAGGTGTATACCTGACCTATAGGAGGTGTATACATGATGTATAGAAGGTATATACCTGATGTTTAGAAGGTGTATATCTGATGTATATGAGGTGTATATCTTAAGGTTTTTTTTTTCAATTGTCGCCCTTTTACTCTTGGGGAGGGGATACATTTACATGATGTGATCATGTGGACGCTAAGGGCCTGAGGGGCGGAGCCAAAAGGGGCCAAAATAGCTCAAACAATAATTGTCTACTTCCAGATCCAGATATGTTAAAAAACCTTCTCATGGATGGAAATATCCTGATGTGCTTAATCAAAATGTGAATTTCACAACCCCTTGGGTACTAATTCCTCCCTGGTGAGGGGCAAAATTCCCTGCTATACATATATATATATGTAATTTTTATTTTTGACATATCACAACAACAAATAACAATTGCATTACAACTCAGGTGACCTGTTAGGCCCATGGGGCTCTTGTTTTAAAGTACTGTATTAGTTGGATGTGTTGATATTGGCTTCCACTAATAATCCCACTACTTACCTATAATTAGATGTGGGTTACAGGGACATGTCACATGCTTATTAAGTGTGCTGCAAAATATATATATATACTGTGATGCCCATTCATTATATATAATATCTTCCATTGTATATATAAACGAGTACCTGGTAGTATTTGACATGTCCCTATAGACTTAAGGTTATGGAATTATGCACTATAGAAATATTCAAATTTCAAATATTTCATATCAATATGGATTGAGTGTCGGTGCTATATATTTAAAAAAAAAACTGTTCAAAACAGTTGATTCTCAAACAGAATTTGTTCTGTATCAAAAAAAAAAATGTTTTTGGGCTGAAATATCTATCCTAGATGTTATTATTAAAAAGAGTTATACAATACTTATCCACAAGTTTTTGAGTCTTGAACCCAAATGTTAAGCACATGTATCAGTAAACTGAATATTTCTCTTGGAATCTGCTTCAAACTTTGGGGGAAAAGTCCTATTTGTACCATATGCTCCCCTGAGTGATAAAATTAATTTGGAAAAGGAACTGAAATACAAGACATTCTTCATTTTTGAAATTATATCTAAGTTCCCTAAGTTTATGATCTAGTGCCAGTCACTTTTCATAAATAAAGATGATGAGATTAATTTAATATAATAAAATAACCTTGCTATAGTGATATGTACACATATATAGTATAAATATATTTTATTATGAATTTTTTCTTGGACTTAAAATTAACCTAGAGAGGTCAAGTTAGATCAAATGTAAAAATAAGCAGTTAATGTCCTGGGTATAATAAATTGTATTTCATTATAAATATTCTTCGTGTATTTTAGATTTGCTTATATCTGGTAGATTGCAAGATTCTATACCACCAGGTCTAAATTAACATATAGGACAGTCTTTGAAAAATGGGACAAAATCTAAACAAGCTACTTGGGGTGGGCGACTCACTGAGGGTAGGTTAACTAATTTGATTGGTTTGGAAGAACACTGAACAGATGTACATGTCCTTTACCTGTTAACTCACAAAATACATGAACACAAACTTTAAACCATGAATTTATAACACAGGAAAATCAGCAGAAATCAATAAATTTTGCTTACAACAAAGAAGACAAGTGATGTGAATGATAAATGTTGAATCAACTAACTCAGCTTAGCTTTCTGACATCAACTATAAGACAAGACCTCATTAATAATATAAACCAAACCCCTCCCCCCTCCCCAAATCAAACCAAACTAGAATTCTTCAACGAGGCTGTGTACGAAAAATAACATAAATCAAGATGAATTTTAAAATCTCACTTTATATTTGAGTATGTGGTGACTGATTATGACAATATTTCTGCGCTCTTACCGAGTTTGGCATCATTACACCTTCACAATATAAATCCTCAGCAAACTACTTTCATTTGTCTCATTCTGGTTGAAAATGACGTACAACAGATTAATAAATGACAGTGATTCTCACTAATAAGAACTATATCTAAACCTTTGGATTTTAGGCCAACGAAACTAAATTGTCATTTGAATAAATAAACATGTAGCAACTTCACAGACATTTTCTAAGTTCTCAATGGCTCTTTAGAACACTCGAGTTTCTTTCGGAAAAGTTTATAACTCTGGATTATTCCAGCCATTTTAGAATATATTAATGTGTGATTCCTAACACTAATATTTTAAAATGTATGCGTAAATATAATAATTAATATTTGAATATATCAACTAAAATTCTATATTGGTGTTAGTTATACTTCCTGTTGAAAAATAAGCTAGTTTTACACAGCTCCCGTTTATCGGACTCGTGATCTAAGTACAACGGGAGCAGTCATTTTCAAACATTTCTTCTTTGTCGGTCTCGCGAGAGTCTCGTTCTTTATAAGATATCTCATAAACTTTTCTTTATAAGATATCTTATATCTTTTATGAGATATCTTATATAATATATAAGATATCTTATAAAGAAAATTAATTGAGATATCTTATAAAAGATATAAGATATCTTATATATTATATAAGATATCTTATAAAAGATATAAGATATCTTATAAAGAAAAGTTTATGAGATATCTTATATCTTTTATAAGATATCTTATATCTTTTACAAGATATCTTATAAAGTATATAAGATATCTTATAAAAGATATAAGATATCTCATAAACTTAATATAAGATATCTTATATGTTTATAAGATATCTCATATGTTTATAAGATATCTTATATAATATATAAGATATCTTATATAATATATGAGATATCTTATATAATTTGGTTAAGTACTGGATCAACATTGCTCCATGAATAAATGACAACTTGGCTTGCCATACTCCAGGCTAACGTGTCTTGTTACGAGGAGATTTACCCGTCTGGCAGATTGCCCAGTACTCAAATGTTCCTTTCACTAGAATAGGTATAAATGTGGTATGAAAGACGAATGGGAGACTTCTTTTTATCTATTTAACAATGATAGAAACACAAAAGATGACTCCGTTTAAAAACTGTTTAACAGGCAGGTAAGGAGCCAAGTATGATTTGTAGGACAAGATCTTGAGCAAAAATATGTCACCGAAAATGTTCCTTTGTCAAGAGGGTTATTTAAAAGACATGTTAACATTAGACTACGTAAGGGTCGAATGCATCTAATGAATATTCATGATTTAGGGACGTCGTATTCGACTTGGCCACTAATATACTTCCTTTTTCTGTCCGACTTCTGTGTGGTGAAGACGTGTTGAGCGGACGAGCATAAAAACCTGAAGATTTTCAAAACAATGGTGTAAAATCATCAACAAGTAAGTAGATATGATATAATATGTAAACTGATTCGTAGTTTGTGTATATTTAATCAAGACAAACGACATCTTATTATCAAAACCACTATAAATGCTATCTGTGTTGTGTGTTGTCAGGGACGCCATGATCGTGACTATTCATGTATTGTTTAATCATGACGTCATTGGTTGGTATTACCCTTCCCTGACCGCTAACAATATGGTGTCGTGGTGTTTTGCTCGAGTATCACGTTATGCCGTCAAATTTCAAAACCGTAATTAAACGATATACATAACATAAATTAGATAATACGTAGGATCAGGGACGTATACTGTCCCTGGTAGGATGGAAGGCATTTTAAGATAAAAAGTAGTTCCACTATAACGTTTTAGAAATGAAAGCGAAAGTGAAGTCTGGGATTACCATGGCAAGTCATAGTACGATTAGGTCCTAAATAATATTAGAAATATGTATAAAATTCTAAATCAATGTTCTAATATTCATATATTAAACATGTTTTTCTAATAAAATAGATTTTCTTTTAAGATATTATAAACTCATTTTCTACTAATAAAGGTGTGTATACACTATAGTGGCATAACAGGTCAAAAATTTCCGTTGCACAATATTGAGATCAGTTGAAATTTTAGTGTTTTTGGTAAAAAAAAGTGATTTTTTTCCCCTGAATTAGGAAGTGCTAAAATAATGAAAACATTTAAAACAAATATTATACTGCATTAAGCACAGTATTATCTCATGTATTTTTTTCGGTAAGGGAGGGGGGGGGGAATTAATATTTAAGATTTCGAGAATATTTTATCTTCGTTTGATACTTTAATTATCAAAACAATAGCAACAAAAGATGAAAGTTGATTTCATCTCTCATGAATCTTACCGTGAATAGATTTGCCTCATTGTAAAAGTTATAATTCCGGACTTAGTACCAGTATCCGGTTTCGATTTTATAGGTCTAAGTTACATTTCCGTTTCGGTAAACCATGCATTTAGTTTTCAATTCTGTAATAATCAATCAGCTGTTATGTTGCTGTTAAATGTTTATACCAACTGTCATCACAGCTACCCCCACTCTTGACTGAGGATCTTTGATGTACTTGCTTAACAGTTGACACAGGTACAGGAAATTCATTCATCACCAGTCAGAGTTGATCGAAGGCAGGTGACGGTCCTTGGGTCGTTGCTCTTCCCCTAGCTGTGCGATAACGTAGCTTTCTGACGACGAGAGATTTTGTTTATGTTGCGTCGTCAGAGCTACGAAGCGGTCCTATGCCAACTAATAGAGCAAAATCGAAAGAGTTAATCTGTAAGATTGCATATAATTCAGGCCTCGTATGAGAATAATGCTATCAAAATATTGAAAACATGAATCCTTACCAATGGCAATGCAAAAACTCTTTAACGAAATTAACCAAGTCCATCTGGGGGGGGGGGGAATAGAAACGACCGCCACGACAGATCACGTGTGATGTTATCTCAATTATCCTTTCTATATATGGCAAATATAGTATTACTACTGTGCCGTCATGTTTACTACAATTTCCATGTTGGGTCATGTCACCCATATTTGGACGTCTGACCTATATCGGAAGAAAGACAAACTTTCCAACCTGGCGGTCAATTCAGAATTTGATTACGCTTGCTACGTTTACTTGATAATTTAACGACATTTATGGCACACTGATCACTCACTTTAACTATAAGTTGTGCAGGATATCAACAGAAATAGCCGGGGCAGAGGAGGCCGGGTATTAATATTAGTACTAGTTTGCATCCACATCAAAATATCTATCGAATCTTCTTATACCTTAACCCTTAGGCTGCTACATTGATTTCTATGTAATTTCCATTTTGTACAGTATCTAGTTTTTAGCTCACCTGGCCGGAAGGGCCAAGTGAGCTTATGCTGTGATGCAGCATCCGTCCATCGTCTGTCGTCAATATTTTAATTTAAACTACTTCTTCTTAATAACCAAAAGGCCTTGGGTGATGATATTTGGTCATTAGCATGCTGGTATGAAGGGCTACCAAAATGTTCAAATGAATGACCTTGACCCATTTTTAAGGTCACAGGTAAAATGTCTGTAAATCTTCAAACAACTTTTTCTCAATAATCAAAAGGCCAAGGGTACTGCTATTGGGCCTGTAGCATGCTGGGATGAGGGGCTACCAAGGTTTGTTCAAATGAATGACCTTGACCCAATTTAAAGGTCACAGGGGTCAAATGTCGTAAAATCTTAAAACACCTTCTCAATAACCAAAAGGCCAAGGGTACTGAAATTGGTATGTAGCATGCTGGGATGAAAGACTACCAAGTTCGTTCAAATGAATGACCTTGGCCCACTTTTAAGGTCACATGGGTCAAATTTGTTAAAATCTTAAAACAACTTCTCAACAACCAAAAGGCCCAGGGTACTGATATTGGGTCTGTTGCATGCTAGGATGAAGGACTACCAAGTTTGTTCAAATGAATGAACTTGACTTATATTCAAGGTCACAGGGGTCAAATATGTTTTAAACCTTTAAGCAACGTTCTTCTGAATAACCAAAAGGCCTAGGAAATGCCAGTAACATGCGGGAATGAAGGACTACCAAGTTTGTTCAAATGAATGACCTTGACATATATTCAAGGTCACAGGGGTCAAATATGTTAAAAAACTTTTAAACGACTTCTTCTTAATAAGCAAAAGGCCAAGGGTGATGATATTTTGCCATTAACATGCTGGGATGAAGGACTACCAAGTGAATTACCTTCGCTCGTATTCAAGGTCACAGTGATCAATGTATATTTAAATCTTTAAATGATTTGTTCTGTATAACCAAAAGGTCCAGGGTAATGATATTTTGCCAAAAGCATGCTGGGTTGGAAGACTATAAACTCTGTTCAACCTAATGCCCTTGTTCGACATTCAAGGTCACAGGCGTCATATGTTTAAATCTTTTAATAGGTTTGTATGAATCAAACACTGATATTCTGCCTGTAACTGTATTTTAGTCCACTTTTATGATTTCAAGTGTGAGATTAATACCAGGTGAGTGATGCAGGCCCATTGGGCCTCTTGTTTAACCTTAGCTTTATAGCTTTTAATGGAAAAATAGCAACCAGACTCTATGATACTTTAATTAAGGTTAATTATTAATTAATTTCATTCTCTTAGAAAGTGAAATACATTTGTTTTTAAACATTTCTGTACAAAATTTATATAAAATATCACAGCATGATGCAATAACAAGTGACCTTTAAATTAATTCATTTACAGAAAAGAAAAAAAATGTCAAGCCATACTAGATCAAACTTGGATTTACTAGGGAAGAGAAATTTGATCTAATGAAGATCTTGTAATGGTGAATGCAGCATCCCTCTGGGATCTCTTGTTTCATTTTATATCTCTCTTACTTTTGTTTCACTACATAGTAAACCATGCCAAAGGACCCTGGTAAAGGAGGGAAAGGACAAGTAAAGCCAGTATGATCTTTGTATCAGGAGGTAGTGTACCAGAGAATATATGTCTTGTTTGAGGACCAGCCAGATACAAGTACAGCCAGTATGATTTTTGTATCAGAAGTCATGTACCAGAGAATGTATAGAGAATGTATGTCTTGTTTGAGGAACAACCAGGTACAAGTGAAGCCCGTATGATCGTTGTATCAGGAGGGAATGTTCCAGATAATGTATGTCTTGTTTGAGGACCAGCCAGGTACAATTGAGGCCCGTATGATCTTTGTATCAGGAGGTAATGTGCCAGAGAATGTATGTCTTGTTTGAGGACCAGCCAGGTACAAGTGCGGCCAGTATGATCTTTGTATCAGGAGGTAATGTGCCAGAGAATGTATGTCTTGTTTGAGGACCAGACAGATACAAGTGTAGCCAGTATGATCTTTGTATCATGAGGTAATGTTCCAGATAATATATGTCTTGTTTGAGGACCAGCCAGATACAAGTACAGCCAGTATGATTTTTGTATCAGGAGGTAATGTACCAGAGAATGTATGGTATGATCTTTGTATCAGGAGGTAATGTACCAGAGAATATATGTCTTGTTTGAGGACCAGCCAGGTACAAGTGCGGCCAGTATGATCTTTGTATCAGGAGGTAATGCACCAGAGAATATATGTCTTGTTTGAGGACCAGCCAGGTACAATTGAAGCCCGTTTGATCTTTGTATCAGGAGGTAATGTTCCAGATAATGTTTGTCTTGTTTGAGGACCAGCCAGATACATGAACAGCAAGTATGATCGTTGTATCAGGAGGTAATGTACCAGAGAATGTATGGTATGATCTTTGTATCAGGAGGTAATGTACATGTTCCAGATAATATATGTCTTGTTTGAGGACCAGCCAGATACATGAACAGCACGTATGATCGTTGTATCAGGAGGTAATGTACCAGAGAATATATGTCTTGTTTGAGGACCAGCCAGGTACAATTGAAGCCCGTTTGATCTTTGTATCAGGAGGTAATGTTCCAGATAATGTATGTCTTGTTTGAGGACCAGACAGATACAAGTGTAGCCAATATGATCTTTGTATCATGAGGTAATTTTCCAGATAATGTATGTCTTGTTTGAGGACCAGCCAGGTACAATTGAAGCCCGTACGATCTTTGTATCAGGAGGTAATGTTCCAGAGAGTGTATGTCTTGTTTGAGGAACAGCCAGATACAAGGACAGCCAGTATGATCTTTGTATCAGGAGGTTATGTACCAGAGAATGTATGTCTTGTTTGAGGAACAACCAGATACGAGTACAGCCAGTATGATCTTTGTATCAGGAGGTTATGTACCAGAGAATGTATGTCTTGTTTGAGGACCAGCCAGATACATGAACAGCACGTATGATCGTTGTATCAGGAGGTAATGTACCAGAGAATGTATGGTATGATCTTTGTATCAGGAGGTAATGTACATGTTCCAGATAATATATGTCTTGTTTGAGGACCAGCCAGGTACAATTGAAGCCCGTACGATCTTTGTATCAGGAGGTAATGTTCCAGATAATGTATGTCTTGTTTGAGGACCAGCCAGGTACAAGTGCGGCCAGTATGATCTTTGTATCAGGAGGTAATATACCCTTTGTATCATGAGGTAATGTTCCAGATAATATATGTCTTGTTTGAGGACCAGCCAGGTACAATTGAAGCCCGTATGATCTTTGTATCAGGAGGTAATGTTCCAGAGAATGTATGTCTTGTTTGAGGAACAACCAGGTACAAGTGAAGCCCGTATGATCTTTGTATCAGGAGGTAATGTTCCAGATAATGTATGTCTTTTTTGAGGACCAGCCAGGTACAATTGAAGCCCGTATGGTCTTTGTATCAGGAGGTAATGTTCCAGAGAATGTATGTCTTGGATGAGGAACAACCAGGTACAAGTGAAGCCCGTATGATCGTTGTATCAGGAGGGAATGTTCCAGATAATGTATGTCTTGTTTGAGGAACAGACAGGTACAAGTGCAGCCAGTATGATCTTTGTATCAGGAGGTAATGTACCAGAGAATGTATCAGGAGGTAATGTACCAGAGAATGTATGTCTTGTTTGAGGAACAACCTGATACAAGTACAGCCAGTATGATCTTTGTATCAGGAGGTAATGTACCAGAGAATGTATCTTGTTTGAGGACCAGCCAGATACATGAACAGCAAGTATGATCTTTGTATCAGGAGGTAATGTACCAGAGAATGTATGTCTTGTTTGAGGACCAGCCAGATACATGTACAGCCAGTATGATCTTTGTATCAGGGGGTAATGTACCAGAGAATGNCAGCCAGTATGATCTTTGTATCAGGAGGTAATGTACCAGAGAATGTATGTCTTGTTTGAGGAACAGCCAGATACAAGTACAGCCAGTATGATTTTGGTATCAGAAGTCATGTACCAGAGAATGTATGTCTG